AGGCTGAACCAAGCTTTAACCTCACTAGGAGTGTACGAATCAGGCAACCTCCCCACTGTTATTCAAGAGCACCAAATCTTCCCATAAAGTAACATCCCTGGCTTCATGCTGCAGAGAACCATTCCTATACATGGAGGCCTTATGATGTGATGTAAGAGACAGCCCAGGTACCCACAGCAGTATGGGTCCCACTAATCACACGCATACATGTCAGTAGGATCAGGACCATAGCCTGTAGTCTAGGCTAGGGAGGAATAAAACAATAAAAAAATTAACAACAGCAATGGAGTTGCAGTATGCGTATTTTTGAAAGGTAGAAAAATATGTAATTAATGCTCTTCTTCTGAAAAGTTTCCCTATGTAGATGGAAGATGGATAGGATTTTCCATAGAACTATGGCATGTGCTTCTCTTCCTTTGTAGTTTCATTGATTACTTTACCTGTAGCAATCATTTTCTTCCTGTTCTGTGTCTCTTTTCCTAATTCATTTTTTTTTATGAGCAGAATGTCTTTCGGTGAGGTTCTCTGAAAGCAAATATTCTTACTCTATGCCATTTGCACAGCATGGTCTGTGCCCCAACAGCATCTTGTCAGGTGTTTATTCCTCAATTATTAAAATGTATAATACCTACAAAAAAAAGTGATTATTTTTCAGATAATATCACCAGGACTCCATTAGAACAAGAGGAACTTAGATTAGAATGGATGACTGTAGATGATCCCTATCAGGATATATTCAAAATGCAACTCTGGATTTCAAATAAGTCTTTGATAGCCACATATCTCACATGCTGAAACCAAATCAGAATGCCAGATTCCACAGTTTAGAGTCCTTCAGCATCACAGAGCAGGATAAAAACTGCTCCCAGAAGGATTATAGCCCTCATTCTGATTTGTCAGTAATTATCAATGTGAATTAAATCTCTTAACATATTAGAAAGGCAATGCACTACTTTTGGATCAAAGTTTACTATTATTATTATTTTTTACCTCAGTGCATACATGAATTGTCTGCACTGTTAGCATTAAAGGAAGTTATGATTGGCACTGAAGTGTGACTGGACTTCTCGGATGGTTTCAATGTCTGGGAAGAAAAGCTCAGTAGGTTCATAAATCTAATATAGCTTTTTCATAATAAAACCTAGAGCAGCAATAATTGCAATAAAGTTTTAGAAGGCATCCTGAGGGGAATAAAAAAATAACTGCTCTCTTCATTACAGTTACATAAAGCAAAATTACTTTTTTCTTTTTTTTTTTTTTTTAAACAGCCCATAGGGAATCCAAATTAACAGACTCTGCAGAAGATGATGGCAAAAGACTTTTGACAGAGACCCTAATTATCAGTTGCTTTGATTTTTGTGACCTTGCACATCTTATCTTTCTAAACAGACATTTTAAATATGGAAGTTTCAAATGCCCAGACAGTATAAAGGCTGTTTTAGGCACATCTCTAACAAAGGGCAAACTTCTGTAAGTTAAACTGACTTGCTACAGTGTGTTTTTGCAATGTTAATCCAAACTCCTTATGACGTGAATCCAACCACTAAGCTCAGTACCCATGCAATTTCAGTAGCAGAAATGAAAGGCAAAGTTTTGAGCTGCAAACAGCATGCATGTTGGACACTGGAGAGTCAAGGGCAGTGGGCAGTGTAACCTATCTGTTGTTTGAGAAGGCTACTTCTGTTTGCAGAATTCCCACAAACAGCTAGAGTTTCTGTTGCCTCCTAAAGCCTTAACTTAGATTATGCCTCCCAGAGTATGCCCAGAGGAAACTGTAGGTATGGGTTCATGATTATCCAGCCTCGTGTAAGTACTGCTCACCATGAGCAGGCAATCCTTGCTAGAAGCCGAAGCTCAGCACAGCAGCTGGAATACACAAATGTTAATTATGGCAGAGGGAATTCTTGTAACATTTACAAGTAACATATGCTATATACTTTATGCAGTGAAGCACAACATGTGAAGTCAAATCTTCACAAATACGGTAATGCAAAGATTGTAATGCTCTGTCAGTGTAAATCAAAACACAAACATTCATACAGCACTAAACTCATCACAGACATTTCTCCTCTCCAATTCTCATTATTTACACTCTTTTGTCCTTGCTGCCATCAAATTTCTAAGTTATGGTCTGCATAGGAAGCAAACAGAATCGTCATCTGACAAGTGCTATATGCTATCTGTCAAACCCAAGTTATTTTGGAGTCTGCTTTACCATAGCAGCCTTATCTTACACCTACCACAAGGTATAGTGGCCTGAATTTGAAATAAGCTTCAAGCTTGATTATTATCTTACAGCCAGAATTAATTGTAAAGTACTTCTGCATAACAGAATCTGGTGCAAAGCCTACTAGTTTTAACTTTCCTGTGAAAATGTGAGCTGTAGCCTTAGGCAAACATTCAGACATCTAAATCACGGCCTGTGAACACTTACATACTCAAATCAAAACACCAACTAACAAAAAACAAACAAACAAAAAAAAAACAACCAACATACATCCTGCAGAATCAGACTATTTTGAAAACTGTCAATAAATTCATAAGATCCAACTTGGTTTAATTTTCACCTTATCCATTCCCCTCATTCACTTTCCCCTGTCTTCTCTACTGGCAGTTGTAAAGGACTACTCTCATTTCTCTTCACCCTATCTTTTGACAGTATCATCTGCAAACAAATTCAACTGCTGTCTCTCTACTCACGGCTCAAAGATCTCCCCCTTTATTTCCAGACCCATCTTTCCTGTCCAAGCTGAAATCTTATCCTTTATAATACCTTCTCACCTCAATCTCAAAGATATTAAAGCACATTTCTACCTCTAAATCACATCTCTCTATCCTTATGGACTTATTATTGCCATGACATTCTAGGCATCACATTTCATTTGCGCCTCCTCCTAGAATTTCCCATCTAAGTGATTTAAAGGCCACATATTCACAAACCTCTTTGAATGACAGAAATACACTCTATCTCCTGTTCCAAACCCTTACCGTCACACTACTAATGGATGTTACTTGTTCCAATTTAGGATACTTTATGCATAAGCTGCTTCTACCAGTGGCTTGCCCTTCTCTAGTAGATCAAAGAGTTGCTCAGCCTTTCCAAGTCTTTCAGAGTTCATTCTGTTCAAAAGCAGTAGCTCAGCTCCCAGCCCTACCAAAGTTATGAAGGGAACTCAGCGTCCAAACAAGCAGCCACACTGCTTTCTCCAGTGCTTCCCTTATGCCAGGAAGTAACAACCCAGTCCTCAAAGATGCCAGTGGTACTCACAGTCGATTCTCCTTTAAATCCCTCATATCAGTCACGTTACTACATCTAGAGGATAGCTGCTTCCCACACCCGCATCGCCCCCGAGAACTACATTGATTATACAACACAGAACAATTTGCTTGTTTTCTGCGTCTCAGGCAGTAGCTTGTAGATATTTATTCTATCCCATTAATTTAGAAAATTGCAGCCTCCCAAGATAAAGTCATTATCCTGACATCTCACATTACTGTCATACTACAGATGCTACAATAAATAACTCCTGCACACTTCTTCGTTTGTGTTAGAAATCCTCTTTAGCCAATACTGTTAATTTTGCTTGCAGTTTATAATAAAGAATGAGATGTGGGGAAAAGAACAGCCTCCATCTCATCTTCTGCAGCTCTGCTCCAACCCCGCTGAGCATGCCAAATACAAATGGTTTGACCATTTACCAACTAAGACAGTAACAGAAAGATCTGCTGCATATGCTTCCCTGTACTACCTGAGGTACTGAACGTCCTTCCAGCATCTCAGATGCACCCATCACAAACACTTTGCTCTGGCCTTCTAAGAATCCCACACTACAACTACTCCATTTTTTATTTTTCCTTGTTACATCTCCTGTTCCCTCAGACTTCCTCACACTTTTGTGCTTCTCTTGTCCTTGGCAAAGAACTCATGACAACTGCCACAAAGGACACCAACAAATACATAAAGGTATTATTCATTTCTGTGTCTTCCTTGTGCATCCCCTGCTATACAAATGTATACATACAAGCATTGTGTTTGTATCGTCATAAATCACAATCAGTGTAGCCAATATAAATTTAGGCACTCATAGGAGTATTTTTTAATCTTTTCCATGCATTCATGGAATGCACTGCAACATGAGGAGACCATGCATTTAATTGTTATTTTTTTTTCTATCAGCACAGCACATCCTATGGTATGCAATAAGTGAAAATGACAGCATCATTTCTGAACGTTTATACAAATGTAGTGTTGTAAGAAGAAAAGTTTGCAGAGAGAAGGGTCAGTTTTGTTAGAAACCTCAGTGTGACCAACAGCAATGGTATTTTTGTGTCTGGTGTTCTCCCACCAGGTCCAAGAGGCTAAACAGATACTGGGGACAGTTCTCCTTGTTACATTTACAAACATTTTTTAATTTTTAGAGTTTAGTATTAACCTTAAACCTGGTTAGAAGAATAGAAAAAAATGATTCACACATGATTTAGTCTAAATTATCCACAAGAAGATTTTTTTCTGTATAGAGCTTTGAGTTCTCAACTGTCAGTCTTTCTGGTAGCACTGTCATTACTATGGCATATGCCTTTCTGTGGCCATCCCATTTTTCAGATATGTTAACTGAGTACATTAATAAGTGTTTCATTTACAGAGAGTCTCCAACCAGAAAAGCAAGGAAAGAATAGATAAAATGGTGTCAGGGCTGAAATTTCTCTTGAGTATATGTTCACCAGTTAAATGGTGCTGGGTTCAAATTATCCAACTGATTGGCAAAAACAGTCCCATTATTTCTCCAAGGTACTCTAAGAACAGTAGGGCATAATCTGCTGATTACAGCGGATTATCAATTCTCTGCATCCTTAATTTGATTGTGTTAATCATAAAACAGCCGTGTGATCATCTTGATTGCCAGAGGGCAGAGCAGAATAGCAATTTTCAATTGAAAAAGTCAGACAAAGTCTTGTTTTCTATGAGTAAAACAATTCAGAAAGTAGGAACTGCTTCTTACCTTTAGCCTACGATCCTGGTCTCCGCTGCACAGAGAATTTACAGACACTTTAAAGGTCTTCCAGGCTGGATTTAAGTTATTCATCACAACCTGAGAGTGAAAAGAAATAAGAGAACCCTTACCATCTGCACATTTCTAAACAGAATGCTAGTAGCCACAATTTTCAAAACAGTGTGTTCACTATAAAGAGAAGCAAATAGAGAACAGCTGGAGGTTAGCAGAACAACATACACAGGATATTTGCCCTGGAGCAACCTGAAGTTTCTGACACATCTGCTCTGGAAAGCCCCAAAAAGGAGCACAACTGAGAAATGGGCCTCACACACTACAGAGATTGCCCCAGTACTGCCATACCAAGTAGGGATGCAACTGACAGAAGAAAGGTTGTGGGATACATTCCTGAACTGGAAGGCATGGAAGAGATGCAGGCCTGGGCAATCAGGATAGGCAGTATCAACTTATGGACACATCATCTTCCTTGGTAGAAGACTTTATGAAATCCATAATAAGCAGGGCTCATAACCCCAAATACCTGCCACAGCTCTTTTAAAGACAGTGCCAGTCATTGTCCTGGAAGCAATAAAAGCACTGAGGCACAAGAAACAAATATAAAGAAACCAACATAGCAAGGTAGGAGAGGTGGAGTTGATGAAACATACTATCAATAGGAAATTCTGATTCGGTCTGTAGCATGGTTTGGGCTAAATACAATCTTTGTAAGTACTGACTTATAAACAGAGTATCTGCCAGTTCAACTAAACTTGAATCTTTGGCTTCAGTACTATCTTCCCTTACTCTCACATGAGGAAGTCAATGCCCATTAGTCAATAATTGCACATGAGATAGAAGTGTTTTTAAACATGGGTGCTTGGAATATTTTAATTTTTTTTTAATAGCAGAAGCATAAACTATACTACATGATGGCCTACCTATGTCCTTGGAAAGGAAACACAGCCCTATTCCTCACCTCAGTCCTGTGAACAAGTTGTTGGGTTGCATCATCATTCATCCGGAAAATCTCCAGAAAGGGATCAGATTTGCTGAAAAAATCCTAAAACAAAACAGGACAAGTTGCTCTTGAGAATTCTTCTTCTTTTAGACTTTCAGGCATACTGCACCTGTGCTTTCCTGACTGCTAATGAAAAAACAGCAACAGTGTGATTTCAGTGAAATCTCCCAGTGTCCCTCAGCAATATTTCACTCCTGCGCTTGTTCCACAAGGACTTCTGTGGCACTGCTGTTGTTCTCAGTTTGGCTACTGAAGCATGGCAGGCACAAGGGTAAAATCACACTTCACAGTTTTTTTGCCTTCTTACCCCCACTCCAGATTGCTGAGCTTTAGCTCCTTCATTGATCTAGCATGCTTCTTTCTACTTCCAAGCCTGTTTGGTCTTTTGACTTACCATGCAGTGGCCTCTGTAGCATACTCTATAGTGGCACTGAATGTAATGCTACTTTCACACCCTCTCTGAATGAAGTTAATAGGGCAGGATGTCATGCTGCTATCAGTTAACACAAATATTGGCAAGATGGATTAGAGAATGTTTGAAAAGTTAAGTCCTCTTCAGAATGTGAAAACTCAAACCATGTAAAGAGGAGAAACAGAGCAGGAAATGCAAAAAAAAAAAAATATTTGTACCTGTATCAAGTGGTATCTGTGATAGGCATTTTCATTGCACCATTGTACACCTCTGTTTGGTCCTGCAATCATCTAGTAAGTCAAAACATTCATATACAATCCTAAATTAATTTGTCTTCTGTAGTATACCCTGAAGGTGGCCATGGCCTCTTATGATTCAACAATATCTGTGTTTTTTTTTTGCACAAGCTGGCTGTGTTGAAGAAGGGTCACTGGGCATTTGATCTCCACAGCTGGAGCAAAAAGCCAGCTAATTCATATCATTAACTGTGCTGTGATCCAACAGGCGGGCCCAAATGGACTCCATTTTCTGCATTTTTGACTCTCATCTTCATTTTCTTCTTCAAAAGAGCCACAAGATTAACTTTATGCAGATAGTATTCTCTTCATGCCACATACCAAACAACACACCTCAGCATCAACCTGGGGAAGTGAGGAATTCTGGTTTTGTGGTGTTTCTACAGAAGTGTAAATACAAAAATGCATGTAATATGCACTGTTCCACCATTTTCTTCTCAGAAAATGCCCTTCATACTTATTTTTGTCTAGACAGATAGCAACTCGGAACAGCTTTGAATAAAATGTTAGCCAAATTCTAGGTACAACATTTTGGTCAAACTTGTTTTTGGAACTTTGTCACTATTTCCTAAGGGCAAAGTAAGGAAAGAAATCAGGGCTTTGAAAAGGGAAATCAGAACTTCAATGTCTGGGGAAGAAGATGAATCTCTAAGAATCATGAAGACTTGGGCAAGAGTCATGCATGCCATCAAAATGAGACTCATCAATGTTGCTGTGCTCATAGTATTGTTCGGTGAGTACTTTCTACAAAAGAAAAGGCAACTGTGTGTTTAAAAACTACCACAAAGTAATTATGTGTGTATTTGTTAAATTTCATCACACAGAGCTCTAAATAACAAAGCCATATGTTGGCCCATTTGTTTCAATTACATGGTAACAATGCACTTCATGTAAGAGTGTGTAGAACCAGCACAACACCCTGCACAACTTCTGTGCTTCCAGAGTTTGACTTGAGGCCCTGATGTAGATTTAGCATGTGGGCTGATTCCAAAGCTTGAAATCTTTTGGTTTTTTGAAGAGCTTTGGTGATCAAACTGTGACAGGTTACTACTGCACAGAAGAGAGTGAGGCAGCTGGTTTAATTCTACTGACACCAAAAATACAGAACGCATAGGATTAAAAAAGACTGATGTGCCTCTTCGCATTCATAAGCGTATTGTTTAAGACTGAGTGACAGCTTAGCGTTTAGCAGATTCTTCATGAAACACAAGTTTGATGAGAAACGTTATCTAAAGGAAAACAACTCAAAGTGATGTATCCAAAGAACGAATCCTGCAGTGCAGAATCTTCAGAAAAGGAAAGGATTTTGAGAGAAAACTCAAAATATTCATTCTCAGCTGAATATTATGAAAACCGACACAGAAAACATCAGCATAAGAAATGCAATTTTTAATACCTGGTTTTAATAAACAAGGCAATATCACCTAAAGGAAAAAAAAATCACTACTGACAATAGCTTCCGTCACCCCTCCTCCATGCAAAAAACAAAGCTTACTTCCTTCTAGAATCAAGGTATAAACCAAAACTTCTTCAGTATCAAAGGTGCCAGGTAACGACTCAAAGCTGATATGCCGAATTATGACTTTTTTTTTTAAATTCAGCTACAGCATAGTTAGCATTTTCAATAAATTTTGGTTGTTGTGCTAAATCTACCAGCTTTGCTTTATCTCACAAGAGCATCTTCTTTGAGAAAAATAGCGGCAATGAAAGTTGTTCTGATATTTTAATACTGCTTATATGATAAATATAATGCATTTGCTGGTGGTAAAATGCACACTGTCACTTCAGTATGTGCACACAGTAATAACATCAATACATGGCTTGTACTTTAAAAATGTACCTACTTTTTCTGAGCACTTATTTTGATGCATGATGTTTTGGTATGCTCATTTTCAGAGCAAAACACTTTTCAAAGCTCAGGTTTACAGGTTAAGATCTCCCAGAAAAGCACTGAAACATCCAGAAGGCACTGATTAGTTTTGAAAATGCATCAGTATCAAGACACAGCTTTTAAGAATTTCTTTGGTGCTTCAGCACCAAGGGAATACATAAAAAGTGGCAGTAGTTTTTACTTTGCAGACACGTGTGATTTGCTGGAGTATCTCAGGCCATGATAACTGCCTCGCTTAGAAGAGGAAAAGCAGTCTGACTGCTTCACTGCTCCTAATTTATTACAGCTGCCATAAACATGTAGCTGCTTGTTATGGTAATTGTGACACAGCTATTAATGCAGTAGAACCTTTTCAAAAGTTGTTGTTCCTCTATGAAGTGTTCTCAGCAGATCTCTTGAAACAAGGACATGTCACCTGAGCTGACTGGGCATGAAAATACAGTTATACCTTCCAAACAAGTACTGCAATAAAACTATAACCTCTATCTCTGCAAAGGCAGTTAACTAAAGGAAGCCTTCTTACTGTGACTTTTTATAATTTTATACTGAATGTTTCAGCCACCTCCTCAGGAAAATCCAGGCTTTATGTGTTATACATATAATAGAGTAAGAATTAATTAAGAGCTAAAACTCTTGCAGTATTATATAGAGGGAGTAAAAACCAAACAAATGTATACTGCCTGTGAAATGATAGCAAATTTTTAATCTGCCAAAAATCTGTTGGTCACACTTTTTTCCCTCATTTGTTCAAGGACTACAATCTGGATTGTCTTTTGAGGAGTTTTCCTTTAAAGAGTTGAAGAAAAACATTCTTGTCCCTTCAAGAAACCACTAATAGTAAGAAATGGGAAGAAACTTTTACCCATTAAGCACATTCAGAACCTTCTCCCACACTTTCCTTTACTCCTTATTTGTGAACAAAAGATTCATGTTGTCTTGTGTCAACCCCACAGACACCAGTGCAGGAAACCCTGGGGTGACAGAGGTGATCTTGTGCAGCACTGTGAGCTCCCTGCTCAGGTCTTCATACCCCTGAGCAGGGACAGGCATGCAATACCTTGCCTAGGATTTCACCAAATGGGCTCTTGTCCATTCTCTGATGTCTTTCTTGGACATTTATGTAACTTTGGAGTACGCAACTTTTCTCACCAATTTAAATGATTTCAAACTTTGCAATTGTGCAACTTAAAGAATTTCAAATCTTAGTGATTACTAACAGTGCTTTGCATCTACTGACATCTGAATTCATTCAGGGCCATATCCAAAGTCATAGCCTCTTTTTATAAACGAAGACAGCTAAATTTCAGCCAGGTTTAGAGACGTGTAGCTGGAGCAAATTGAAAGATTCATTTCAACTGTAAGAGGATTTCAGCCATTTTCATCAGCTGAAGACAGGAGTTTTGATTCAAATAATAGATGAAGAGTCATGCAGATGATACAGGATTGTTTTTTAGTAGGTAAAGCCCACTTTGACTAAACATGTTAAAATGGCAAAAGCAATCATGCTTTTGCAGTATTTCTGAATGATCCTTCTTCACTTAACCCTGTAAGTATTTCAACCATACTCTAAAGCCATTGCCCAAAAACAGTGGACTACTTTTGAAGCACATTCTGGCAGAGTTTTTTAGTGAATATCAACAATAGCCTACAGCAATCATAATATTTACACTTAATTACATTATACATCTGGGGAAAAGCAACGAGCAAATTGAGGTCTTATTATGTTGTACACATCTTTTCCTTTTTGCAGATGTGACACCACATGGAACAGTAAAAGCCTGTGTGCAGCTTTTGAAATCAGGTCTAAAGATGGCTATCTTTAGACAAGGTTGTTAAATCTGTGCCTAAATAAATTATATGATTCAGAAACACTAAGAGTCCAGTAACTGTGAAGGAAGAGGTAATTCATCTTTCAAAGGAGAAAAAAATTAGGGTTCTGATCACTTATGATTGTTAATGATCCTGAGCAAAGTAATGTTATTTACCTGTTATGAATAAATTCCAGTACTATTAATCATTCTCTGCTTGCCTGAGTTATTTTTTGCAGTTCGGAAATCTGATATATGTATCCAAAAGCACTCTGATAGATTTGATCTTAAGCTATACATCAAATTTTTACAACTACATGCTCAGAGTATCAGAATAGCAAAATTTTGTGCCGGGCTACAATATATTTCTAATTGGAAGTAGCTTCATACATAGGAGGGAAATAGTGGATACTGTGATCCAGTACAACAGTAATTGTCTGGTCTTCAATTATTATCTAAAAAAGCCTTATTGTCTAAAAAAGAGTTATGGTCTTTTGACACCTATTAATTAAAAAGATATTCTCCAGGCTACTTCAAATAACTGTGCCTTCTAGTACAGTTTAATTACAGACACTGCGCCTTACAGGCACTCACCTGGATTTCCTGGACTGTACTGCTTGTGGCATATTTTCAGAAAGGTATTTCTTGTAATGAAGAGTAATATTTTAGTTAGTGGAGAGTTTTCTTATTGAAAAAGATGAGCTGTGTTTTTAACTTTATTTTAAAACGCTTGCTTCAACTGTATCATTTTTGACTACTTATAGAAAGCTCACTTCTCTAAGCACTCCTGATCTGTGGCATTTTAAGTAATTAAACTGTCTTGGTTATAGCATAATTAAATTGTCTTGGTTTTAATTAGATTCCCTTGAGGTTTTTTTTTAATTACTTCACAACTTAAGGAAATCTTCATTGTGAACATCGATCTGAAATCTCTGATGTGTTTAATAATATAAGGCAAAAAATATCTGTAGGTGAAAATCTCATCAAATTACATTTGCAGGCACTCTTTTACATCTTTTGGTAAGGTTAATAACATGCAGCTTACCTTGTCATCCAATTTCCGTGCACTGAATGAAAGTTCAACGTAGTCGTCATTGCCAGACAATTCCTCAGCTATCACCTAAATGGAAAGCTACATTTGAGTTCTGCATGGTGTAATGAAAATGGAGAAAGACATCATTTCCCCACGTGAAGACTATAGACCCCATTACGAAACTAAAGCGCAGTTAATATGCTTCTCTTTGCAATCAGGAAGGGTTAATAGCACTCAGTGAACCCCTTACTCACTTAATATGCAGCAACACATTAAGATTCCAAAACAGAATCATTTTTCATTAGATGACAATGTCTTATCAATATCTGTCAATGAACAGACCTCCATATCCCTCAGTAATCCCTTTCATCTGATAAAGTATTTTCTCTTAGGTGCAACAGTGGAGAATTCCACTTAGTCTCACATTATCCAGAAGAAAAGGACTATATGTGAGTTGGATTATTTGGGTCTAAAGCTAGACAAATGGAAAAAGTAGTGAAGTCACTTGCCACAGATTGCAATGAAAGGCAAATTTACAGTAGGAGAGTTCTCCTGGTGTAGTCTTACTGCAATAGCTATGTTTGCAAAATCATTTATTGTAGAGTCAGAAGGGAGTAACACTAAATTAACATACTGTGGGTCTTTCAGATACATAAGCTCTACTGATAATAATGTCCATCACTGTGCTATCACAGTGTTGTTAAAAAAAAACAAAATACTATAGCATTTATCATGACTAGGACATTAAAATGCTTCAGTGGAGAGAAGATATTAACTTAAACAAATCTGAGGTTTATTACCAAAAAACGTTCTTTGAAACAAACCACATTCTATTCAATTTGCTATTTCCTAAGCCTGCATGTTCTCCCTGCATATCACATGACAAAAAGAAAACAAATACAAACAAACAAACAAACCCCACGTTTCCTAACAATACGTGTCTTGCACATAGCCCACAGGTATGCCCACAGTGGAGCAGGGATGCCCCCAGTGGGACTGTGGCCTGTGGGTAAGCCCACGACAGAGCAGAGAAAATGAATAAGCAAGAGGTAGCAGGGAGCTAAACACAGTCAGGAGCAACGAAGGACAAAACAGAAATCTCTGTGCTCTGATCCTTATGTCCTGCACCATACTTCCCCTCACCAAAGCAGCAGAGCTAACGTGTTGAAAACAAGGGGAGTAGAGACCATGAAAGGAGCAGCAGATGTGTCCGTACTGAAGTTAATTTCCAGGAAGTGGGAAGGAAAGGTGTTTTCCCTAAGAGTTCATTCTGTTTGCTTCTCAGCATCCCCAAGAAGCAATTAGAATGTTATGTTAACTGGCAATGAATTAAATTAAGTAGAATTTCACGAGTCATGAATATTTTGGCTATGACAGATCACAGTAATGAACTGTGGCATTTCCTCACGCCAAATATTCACATGTAGCCATTTAGGGACACAAATGTCTAACTGCATTAAAGTAAAATCCTACTGATGCATATGAGTGATTTACCTGTTGCCAGGCAAATTTGAACTTGCTGAAAGTTTGGCTCACAGAATCTGACATATTTATCTTCCATATTGGTCTGGTGGCTTAAAAAATACTATGCAGCAAAAAGCTACTAGCACCCTGGGACTTGCACACAGTTTTGCAAGTGTTTTTAACAAAAAATAGTGAACTTTTCCTGTAAAGGCTGACAGACTTCTAGCTGGAGAAACTGAGACAGGTTCTCTTTTTTCCGAATGCTACACAATAAAAATGTACTGATATTATACTATTATACTATTATATTGCAAGCCAGGCTTGAGGCAGACAATTCAGAATTCCATGAAAAACTCAAAATTCAGTAATCTAAACATGCTTGGAAACTAGGCTTTGACAAACAGGTGGCATGTACCTTAGGATCAGAAATAATTCTAACTCATCAATTTCCACTTGCTCTGCCCAGACAGCAAGCTCTTCTCACAGTAATCTTTGTCTGAGTTCAGTTTTCTCCCACTGGAGAAAACTGCTCTGGAGAAAGCCTGCTCTTTAGAACCACAGACCAGAAGCCAAGGTAGCTTGGACTGCTCGCTGTTCTTAGAATAAACTTAGAATAAGGCCTTCAGTTTTTCGGACACTCTCATTTTACTTCTTATCTCCAATTCCAATTATATCGTATTACATTGTATGATAGTGTGCTATCCTGCATTCCAATATCTTATTTCATAGATTAGTTTGTTTCTCCTTAGACCGCTGCCCATTCCCCTCACACTTTCCCTTCTTCCCTTTCCCATGGCGTGGGTCTTTGGGTCCCCCCGCCCCATCAGTCACAGAACCATTCTGAACAAGCCTGCAGAACGAGCCTGTAGAACAAACCGTTGTAGACAAAGCGCTTGTTTAGAGACCACAAATTCTTGCCAGAAGATTCTACTAGGAAGTTTAGTCATTTTAGTTGAACTAGCGACTAAACTCATTTGTGTCTCTCATGGAACAGGAGGGGTATCTAGAAGGTCACAGGGATGGATGAGGTAAAGCGTGCCCGAATAGTCTCAGTAGGCAAAAACATCAGCTTTGTAGAGAGCAAAACTCGCTCCTACCTCTGTTCAGACAGGAACCTGGGAGATTCCTTTCCAGTCCCAGAATAAGTGGAGGTGTTGTACTTGGGCTGGGGTAATCCCAGATATTTATACAGGCGGGGGAAGAGCTCCTTGAGAGCAGTCCTATGGAAAAGGACTTGGGAGCCCTGGTGGATGAGAAGCTGGACATGAGCCAGCAGTGTGTGCTTGCAGCACAGAAGGCCAACTGTGCTCTGGGCTGGACCCCCCGGCAGAAGAAAGGTGCAGAGCTCTCGGAGCAGGTCCAGAGGAGGACCACTAAGATGATCAGAGGGCTGGAGCACCTCTCCAATCAGGAAACTGGGAAGTTAAGGGAACTGGGCTTGTTTAGCTTGGAGAAGAGAAGGCTCCAGGGAGACCTCATATCGGCCTTCCAGTATTTGAAGGGAGAGTATAAACAGGAGGGGGAACGGCTGTTTACAAGGGTGGATAGTGATAGGAAAGGGGAATGGTTTTAAACTGAGACGGGGAGGCTTAGGTTAGATATTAGAAGGAAGTTTTTCCCCCAGAGGGTGGTGAGGCATTGGAACAGGTTGCCCAAGGAGGCTGTGGATGCCCCATCTCTGGAGGCATTCAAGGCCAGGCTGGATGTGACTCTGGGCAGCCTGGTCTGCTGGTTGGTGACCCTGCATATTGCAGGGGGTTGGAACTGGATGAGCACTGTGGTCCTCTTCAACCCAGGCCATTCTATGAATAAAAATGAGTTTCATCTTATGTATTTAAGAAAACCTCTTCCCAGTCATAGACCAAGAAAGACATCTAAGAAAGAAGATTCCCTGGGCTCTCAGAAAGCACTGTTTCTCATATTCTGCTCTCCACTGTGGCTGAAGACATGAAAAAAATATCTGAACAATCAAGCCAAAAGAAACCCATCTGACTAATTGTAAATCAAGGAAGAAAATCCTTCTCAGCCCCATGAAGCAATTGAGCAGAATGTTTTGATATAATCTGTCTTAATGCCAAGCTGCAAATGTCACAAGCATGCTATGTTCAGTGCAGACAAGCTTGATCTCCCAAACAAGATGGCAAAGAGAAAGATGAAAGAGAAGTAATACACTGATTTTCATATTTCAAGACATACATGGGGTCCTTTAATTGTCCGGTCTGTAATTGCATTACAACAAACCTAAAATAGCAAATATCATAAAATATCTGCATTTGGTGTTGGGTTGTGCGTGTCAGTGTGCTGTGATTTTTTTAAAGACACTGTAAAAAGTCCAAAGGCCTGGAAACATCAAGTCTCTTTACCATCCCAATTAGAACCCTTGAAGAATTTTATATTTAATTTTATAAAGAATATTTGTGAAGCTGTTCATACACAATATCATAAATGCAGTTAAAAGTGAGTTAAAATGAATTTCTGAGGATTTGAAAGCTTTAGATAAGAGTGATAAAGCAGTAAGACTTTCTTGTTGTCATCGAAGTGTCTTACAAGCAGTAGCAGTAGTAGTAAATGTTATGGCTTTTGTACAAATCTTATATTATTTGTTGCCATTATAGCAAGTATTTATCAGAGATGTAGAAGTAATCTTTTAAATAAACGATTTGACTTCTCAGTCAAGGGTTGTTCTGGTGCCTTAGCATAGTGCTTTTAGGCAGAATTAGTCCCATTAGCTGCCTTTAAACAACAGGAAAATAAAAGCGTATTTAAGACTGGCTTACTGTTATAGATGACTTCCCTGCTGTGTTCCCATGTTTGAGTAAGGACTTGGAGAGTTTCCTCTGAGAAACAATCTGCACAAAAACAAAAGGGAAAAAATTAGAATCTACAATAAACACATGGGTAATTTTGATTTGTTTTATTTTGTACAAAGGTGTTGCCTTAATCCACAGTTAGAATCCTAGCATAAAAAAACCACTGCTGAGGAAAGTTTCCCCAGGAAGCCTGCAGTTAGGATGCAGTAGGGTCAAGCTGAATGGGAAGAACACTATTTGATGAGCAGAACAGAATAGCAGAAACTGAGTGCCATATTTTCCAGAATTTGCTTCCATCCATCATGGGGGCAACAAGGGAGTATCTGCATACAATAAATCTATCAGACTTGCCAGCCCTCCTCCCCCCATCTACTTTTATAGGAAACTGAAAACCATTTCAAAGAGAACACAATTATTTTATTTCAAAACATCAACAACTCCAAACGCAGAAGCAGGCAGTCTTGCCCATAGGTTTAGTTCCAAAAGTCATCTCCTCTTTTTATCAGGCACCCAATCTCCTCTGGAACTCAGCACTGTAGATTAGCTTGTCCACCAACCAATTTACAAATATACCTAAAAAAAGTGTTAGTATAGTAGCACAGACAAAATATATTGTTTCCTATTATATCAATCATTACATTTCCATAACAATCTTTCAACATTTTAAACTAGATGGGTAAAAATATCAGAAAATGGAAAAACCTTAAAGCTACACGTAATTTATCAACTACTCTACAGCTGATGTCCCAGTATGTTAGGTCTCTCCTTTCTTCCTCTCTATAAAGTCAATGCTACCTTAAAACTATTCCCTTCTTCCTTTTTTTTTTTTTTTTAAACACTCTTTTTTTAAGTGTTTGGAAAAGTTCAAAATACAGCCAGATGTAGAGGGAACTGGATAGACCTTAGGAATCATAATTAGCGTTATTTCTAATTCAACAACACTGGAAGAGGATTCTGCCACATGCTGCACAGACACTGAGCAAAAGAGTTGTTTCTCTTCTATGAAAGACTCCAAGGTTTGGAGCATAGCTTTATACCTTGAGTAGTCCTTTTCCACATCCAGTATTATTTGGGCAGCTTAACCTGAACGGCAAATCTATAATACTTCAAATGAAATGATCTATAGAGATCTTTGGCAAAATATGCAGAAATATTCTTTGTAAGAATATTTCCCTCATCAAGGGAGAAGAACTGCTTCAGGCAACTTGTTGTAATCCTGGGCATTGCACACATTTCAGCAATAAGCCAAGTCAATAAGTAGCAGGCAGAATTGAAGCAGGTGCCTTAGCATAATGCTTTTAGGCAGAATTAGTCCCATTAGCTGCCTTTAAACAACACAAAATCACAGGCAGCCAGAGGTGCTATGAGTAGGAGCAAACAGGATATAAATTTTGGACTAACATCCCCATGGGGAATCATCAATTTTCTGAACAGAAATGTGGAAATAGCACCTCAGATTTTACTGAGCTCATGTCCTCATGCAGGCAACAGGGGAGAAACAAGTTTTAGAAGATCTTTAAATGTGAAACAAGAGGGTTAGCATAGAGCTGGAGGGGATTCCTCCAGAATCACTGTGTCCAGCTCCCCAGTCCTAATGCAGGACCTCCTGTAGCTGGGTCAGCTGTACCTGACAGATGTATCTCAGATATCCGGAGGCAGAGAAACACTCTTCTCCAGCAATTAACTGCAGCACTCATTATCCTCACTGTAAATACATTTTCCTATGAGCTAACCTGCTTCTCTAATTAAAGCCCATTATTTCCATCTAATGCACCACGGATGGTAGAGCCTTCTCCCCTTTCTCATTAACGCATTTTTTATTTCTGAAGGCTAATATCGTATCTCCACAGTGCTCTCTACACTGCAGAACCCAACTACATCCTATTTTTCCTTTCTGACCACATTTTGTAGGTCTGGAACCATTATCAGTGCTCTATGCTCAGCCCTCACCAGCAGGTCAATGTCCTACTCTTGGAAGAATGCTCAAAACTGAACATAAAACTAGAGATCCTATGCAAGAAGAGCTTCCTGTGCTGCGAGCTCCTTCCGATTTACTCTAGGATTGCATTTGCCTTTTTTTTTTTTTTTAACACCATGATATTTTCTCCATCTGTATTTATGACCATTTCACAATTTTCATCACCAGCTGTTTCTTACCCTCCATTTTTGCATCTGGTTATTACTTAAAGGAATAATTTGGCACTCATCCTTTTCAGACTGCCTTCCATAAGCCAACTGCTGTCATCACTTCACTCATTTCTCCAAATTAGCTTGAAAATTTCCACAAGTATTGGTCTTGTGGAAGCAAGAGTTGCAGATAAAATACAGATGACCAGTAATGCCAGGATTCAGTGTCCTTCCTTCCTAGGATCTTGGAAGGATTTTTCACTGCAGCCCCTTACATCACTCATACCTCCGTTCTGTTGGCAGCTAAGCCGGCACTTTTATGAAGTGTGAAGAGCAAGTTACAAAATCTTGAGATTTTCAAATATGATTATTTTCAGGATATTATTAAATTATGGGTTTTCCATCTAACAATGAATTCTGGCAGATGGGCAGCAGGACACACCGTATCTCTACGAGCTCCCTGCTTTCCCCAAGATGTACAGACAATACTATAAAACACAATAAGCTCTTCTACTGAAACCTGTGGTACTGTGCACCAGAAATCTCTTCAGATGTGTTAAGTATGTATGTCCTTGTGACACAGAACTTGGAGGGGAACCTGTCCTTCAGCTACCTCCTAGAAAGACAGAAGGGCGTTCCTCATGAACAACTTCAAAACCAATTTTGCTAATTGGGAAATTGTCAAAGCCTTTAGGTGGCACTGGGCAGACAAAAACCTGAAGCCTGGGAGCTTCCATGCAGGTGGCAGAAAGACAGCTCACAATGCCAGAAAAGTTAATTTACTCTGACATTCCCATTACTAGATCACATTAATAAGACTAGCTCTCTCAGCCATTAGCATCCTTGTGACAGTGAGCACCCTGCCTACGTAAATACACGTATTTGTGGACAAACATTTATCAGTTGTTAATTAACAGTAAAATGAATCTTCCATCTGGCAATAACGTGCCAAGATCACTGCCTCAGACTGTAATTAGTGATTTGGGATCAGAAGATTATCATTGTGATAACTGACAAGAAATCAGTATTCTCTAGCAGGAAATCACCCACTTTGTCCAAGCAGTGTACAAAAAGCAGCTCTCGCTAGACAAAAGAGACACTTCTCCAGGATGGTGAAGCACTGGAACAGGCTGCCCAGGGAGGCTGTGGATGCCTCATCCCTGGAGGCATTCAAGACCAGGCTGGATGTGGCTTTGAGCATCCTGGTCTATTGGTTGGAGACTCTGCACGTCTTTGAGGTCTTTTTCAACCCAGGCCATTCTATGATTCTATGAATTATATTTATTCTTTTGTATCAGTGCAAATAACCTCCTGAACACCATAACAGGTGTTAGCTGACCTGATTGCCAGAAAGTGAGTCCTAAACAGCAGTAATGTACCGGTCTAGAAAACATCCACATAAGTTCCAGCTTCAAGAGATGTTTGAACATGCAAAATGGCTTAGGTAATTAATCACACCTTTCTTTCATAAGGACTCTGGTTTGACTCCTACCTCAAAAACTAACAATTTAAAACTCCGCCTTCAGAACAACAGGTGTTTTGTATAACCTAATATGAAGAAGTGTAGGGTGTAAATGCCTCTCATTTCCTAAACAGATATTAGAATTCAGTTCAGACCTAGTAGAAATCATTAGATTTCCAGAATACATATTTTATGAATGTTTTATTAAAGCACGACCAACCAGTGAACAAATGGATGTAGAAACCTTAGAGACCTAAAAGGTGAAGCTAATAAAGACTTAAGAACTGATGTTATGTTTCTTTGTGGCTACAGCCACATATAAATTACAATACAGTTCTAAGAGCCACACGTCTAATAATATGAATCATACTCAATAAATTTGCAAGAGGTAGGAATAGGAACAGAACGTACAAGCTGCTGTTCTGCTTCAGAAAGAGGGGATACACACACAAAGCAATTCTTATTTGCCTCTTATGAGCACCCTTTTAACTAGATTTCTGGTCTCTGTTGCCAAGGGATATGAGCTCAGGGTAAGATGGGGGCAAGAAATTCCCTTGCAGACTATCTAAACGTGCTTTAGTACTTTCAAGTGCAAATAGGCTAAGGAAAGATCTGAACAGATGTTCCACACGTCTGTGAGTAAAACTCAAATCCCACACTGCCCTTTGATCTTATCTCCAAATTAAAATATATAAAAGGTGCTTTGCTTTTTTACTTAAGGCACTAACAAGGCACCAACACCAGCTGTGTACCCTGCATTGCTCCGCAGCCACTCAGACAAGGACTCTGATGAAGGTTTTCTCTCTCCTGTGTCTGAATCATGACTAATCAGCACAGTGTAAGGTGAGCTGTGATATATAATGACCTATTCTAACTGGCTTGTGTAAGGACCTTTTAAAATACACTTCTCAGTGTGCTCCTTCCTTAATCAAATGTAGGGATAATTTTCAACAGTATCATGCAGAACTCCCAATGCTTATAAATCAAACTAATGAGAAGAATTCAAAATGGCTTTTTAACTTATTCATTTTAGCATTGGTAGGAACAGATTAATGCCATATATCATTCGGAGAAGTTCTGTATGCATCAACAGCTGGGCTTGGTCCCAGTTCTGTAAACAGCACTGATGAAGTTTTGCATGGTGCCACTGAGCAGGCCTGATGACCACACTCCATATTTCCCCTGGGACCAAAAAGCTGCAAGAACTTTGTTTGTTTGCCTGAATTAAGCTGGTATGAATCTTAGCTCCGAATATAACACCAATATCCTTTTGTTAAAGGCTTCTTGAAAATCCCATGGATAAAGGGCCACAGCTCCTTTTCTATTTAAGTTCTATATCACTTGACTTTTGTTAACTCTCCTGAGATGTGAACCTCTGATCTCTGATTTTGACAGAACCAAGGGCTGGGCAAACAGTCTGCATTAGTGGCAAGACTGCATACAACTTAGT